GCAGGAATGTTTATGCATCAGACTGACTTAACTGTAGGAATAGTCTAGTCCAAGGCCCAGTGTCAGGAGTTGTACCCTGCGGCTAATGTTTTCTGCTGGAGTGTTGCATAAATCTGGCACAGCTGCAAACCAGCTTGGCAACAGGAGCATCACAGCTGCTGCTACTGGGGAAGCTTTTTGGAAGTGAAAATAGCATAGCTGCAAAAGTGCTGCCCCTTTCTCCCACTTAGAAGTAAAAATTAAAATAGTGGAAGGCCTGATTCTGCTGTGTTTGGGCAGAGGATGAGGGAAGCCTAAAACTTGCTGGTGTCTATTGTTACACCTTGCCTGAACAGGGCACAGTCCATTGCTTCTTTGGTGGCTGATGCGCAGAGTGGCAAAACGTTCATTTTGGCAGCATTCCTCCATCTTTATTTCGTAGCCAGAAAAAAAGTGAGTGAAGCCCAGGAGGGGAGAGATGATGCAGTCAGAGCGGAGAGAAGAATTAGTACCTTGAGCAGCAGGACCTGGGGCAGATTGGAGAGGCTGCTCAGGTGGCGTTTCCCCAGCTACCTCAGGTGGTGAAGCACTAGGATGCAGAGGCTGGAGATAACAAGCACTGTGCTATCAATGGGGGCTCTATCAGGGCTTGTGTTTGGGTAGTCTTGTAATTATGAACCCAAAGGCGCTGTAAAATGAAGGTGAGAGGCAGTGATGTCTGTTGTACATTGTTTATTTTTCATGGGGGGTTTGGCTGATAAACAGGACTGAATTAAAGCAACGCTCATGAAAAATAAAACCCAGCCATGACTCAGAAGTGCAAAATTGCCATCCATGTGTCCAGAGACGATGAGGTTGATTTGCTGGGGGTAGCACATGGATATTGGTGTCTGTACCAGCAGGGCAAAGGCTTCAGCTTACTGATATCCTAAATGCAAAAAGGATGTCTGGTACAGTAATATGGCTTTGTCACCAGGTGGCCACCTGTGACTCTCTGAGAAACAGCTTCAGTTAGAAAGAGGTCATTTTGGTGAGTTTTTCTCCAGTTCCTATTTACAAGTCATGGATGCTGTCTTCCACTCAAACCATTAAACAAGGGCTGCTGAACAGTAAGCACTGTGAAATTAAAACAAAAACATAATTGTAAAACCCAGTAACAACAAAACCCTGCCCGCCCTCGTTATGTTTGGACATGGCTTGTTGTATATACAGCACCAGTAGAGAGCAGACTGTTCCCATGGTGGAGGAGCGGTTTCTGATGGGAAGACTCAGACTTGCAAAGATCAGAAAAACTAAGAAGTGCATCCCAGATATGAAATTACAGTATCAGGTTGCCTAAGGCTGAGGAAGGTCTTAATTGCATCATCCCACTGGCTGTGACCCTCTTGCGCTTTCTAGTGAAAGTAGCAGTTCACCCTATTCCCTGCTAATCTGTCTTTTGCAGCTGTGTGAAGAAGGAATTAGTTTGGTCTCCAGAAGACATACTATGCCATGAGAAATGATTTCCTCCATCTTGTGATGTCCAGCAAGAAGAAAAGAGTCCAGCAAAGTTTTCTTGAAGAGAAACTGGTTACCCCTTAGGGAGGGAGGGATAAAAAGTGTTGGGAATGAACAAAGCACAGGGCTACTTTGGTGCCTAGTTGCAAGGGTCTGTAATTTACCTGGTGGGGAAGGTATTTGAAAGGGAGGGCGTAAAAGGGAGTTTATCTAATATGTCACTTGGCAAGGCAAGGGAGGTAGCCTGGGAGGGATAGCTGCCAGCAGTTACTACTATAAGATGTGCTAAGCCATTCGGGATCTCATTTGACAGCTTTTTTGTTCCAGAAGGAACCATGGCAAGCTTGCCTCGTTCTCCTGCCAGAAGCTTTCCCAGCCCTCCTCCTCCCAGCATTTCGTGTGCGGCTGCTGCCTGTGCAGGAGACCAGCAACACAGAGCCAGATGGCATCTGCAGCAGCTTGCGTGCTGTGATGCTTTTGCCACTGCAGGGAGCGGTGGCACAGTGGAGGCTGCGCTGCTGTGCCCCGCGCATGGACAGCTCGTGGCCTGAGCTCTGCAGTAGCTGGCCCGGGGTCAGGCAGCCACGGCCCCCTTGACCTGTTGGCTGGGCAACCTCAATGGTACCAATGCACCGAGGCAAGTTTCGCCAGGTGAGCCCAGGAGCGCAGATCACACAGCTGCTTTGCAGCCCTCCTGCAGCTCCTGGGGTGGGGGTGGGGTGGGGGGGATGTTTAATACAGCTGTCTGAGCTGCAGGGCAGGGAGGCCCTCCCTGCTTGCAAATCCTGTAACTCTACAGCCATCTCGCCAGATGCTAACTGAGGGGCTGAATGGCAGAGCCAGGTTACTGCCAAGCTGGAAGGAGGTCAGTTTGGATGTTAGCGCGTCGAAAGGAGGCAAAGCTTGGTTAGCGCTACAGTTTCTGTGATTCTGCTTGGGGGTGGCATAAGGGTGTCACATGGCAGGAGAAAATCCCCATGCCTAACCCTACTTAAAATCTTTCCTTTTTTTTTTTTCTTTTTTTCTCCGGCCTTTTCTCCATGTTAAGGTAGAGGAACGGTCCCAGGAACGGTCCCCCCACACAGGGGGAGGGTGTCTATGAATATATTCTGTTTAAAGTTTTGTCAGAAATTTGTTTAACCTGATTAGTAGAATGTGAGAAGGCAGCAGCACTGTTATGCTCATGGTTTGGTGGCATGTATCTGGTGGTGGTGCTGTTTCCTAGAAATCTGTTTCTTAGGCTGAGAGATCCCATGTATGTTTTTAGAATTGACTGGTAAAAGTTGCCAAAGTCTTCAAAATAAGTATTTCTCCCAGCAAGAAATTCCAACTTTCTTTCCTTTACTTTGCTGCCTCCAAAACGCAACACCAGGGAGCAAAACAGAAGTTATCAAGTAGCTGTTCAGGCACTAGGGACATGGAGGGAGATTTGATAAAGGAAAAGGGATTCACACAGCCTGAAATCTTTCTATGTCCTGTATAGAGGCTTGATTAACAAGCAACATTGAACAGCTTGACTATATTCAATGCATTTCCATTATCCCAACTAGACAGCTCTCCATTTCACTGCTGTGGTTTGGGTGTGGGGCAGATTTGGTTTGAAAAGAAAATTTTATTTCCTGTGTCTGAAGGTTTTTTTTGCTGCTGTGATGCCATTCCTTCATGTGCCAGAAGAGCTCAAGGCTAGCAGGGTCCAGCTACAACTACACCTTGTCTTTCCATAAGCTGTGGCTGTCGCTTGCTTGTGTGCTGGGTCAGGAGTGAGGGCTGGCATTGCTTCTCCTACCAGCCATCCTCAGTGCAAAATCCCCCGCTGATCCGGCCTGGCCCACAGTAGCAGTAAGCAGTGACACACAGACAGGAACTTGCACAAAGGTTTTATGTTTTTCAGCCAGCCACCTGGTACCGTGTCTGGCAAGCGCTGCTGGCGGGGCCTCCAGCCACCACGAGGAAGCAGGGATGGGATAAGCTCTTCCTGAGATCTCGTCCCTTGCCGTGCTCCGGTCTGTTTGCAACATCTTCTCCCAGAGCATGTTCCCGGCTGTCAGAGATACCCTAGATGTTCCTCGCACCTCTCCTCCCCATCCAGTGGTTGAGTTCATAGCTTGTTCTTCTGTCCCATGGTTAAAAAATATATCCTCATTTTACTTTTCATCCTCGTCTCCCTCGCTCATGCTGCTGAGGGAGGCAGAGGCAGCTTTTGGAGAAGAGGGAGGGGAGGGTTTATTGAAGAGCCAAGGAAAGGGTGGAGATGGAGAACGGGATGGAGAGTGGCCTCGTGTAGTAGGGCTGCTGGTTGGGCTCTGCCTTGGAGAAAAAGCCTGGAGCATTCGACCACTTCGTTCTTGGAACATCTGCTTCTGCAAAAGCAAAGGGAAAAGATGTTCTTTGAACAACACGCCGAGATGGAGGAAGGCACACCTGCAGGCAAACGTGCTGCTCTGCGCACTGCCTCTCGCCGGGGGTGGAGGGGGGGGCAGGGGGGGCAGAGCCCAGGCTTCTGTGCCCTGACACACAGCCAGGGATCACGGTACCCTCTTTGCCCTGCTGTCATCCCAGACTTTGACGTAGCCTCTTATACTCAGCTTGTAATAAGTTGTTTTAACATAACAGGGTTTTTGTCTTAGGGCACCCACAGTATGAAAAAAGTGTGTATTGTTCTCAGGCAACTAGGGAGAACTTCCTCTGGCTATTTTTAGACTTGAAGGTCAGCCTGCGTCTCCAAAAGCTAGTTCTCTCTCTGAACTCCAAATGCTCCTTGTTCCCAGGCCCTCTTCCTTAGTGTGCTGGGATGGACCAGTCATCTCCTGCTGCATTTCCTGGCTCTTGCAGGCTTCTGTCCCCTTTCTTCCTCAAGGGAAGGTGACAGCCCAGTCCCTGCCACTTCCCCAGCTACCTAGAGCATACATGACCCAAAACCTTGATGGGGCAGGAGTGGGAGGGAAAGTCAGAATTCAGATGTCTTTGTTCAAGAGAAACAAGTGGGAGACTGTATATTCTGTTATGGGTTTTATTGTCATTTGCTTTGTAAGGCTGAGCAGGGATCTGCCAGAGCTGGTGGGGTGGAAGGGACCACCTTTTCAAGTAAGTGGTCTGCTACAGTAAGGCAAATGCTGGTACTTATTAGTACTGTATGCGGCCTTGCAGTTTGGCTATGGGACTGGGTTACAGGACATCTGGCTTCTACTGCGTGGCTGCTGCAGGCTTCGTGGTGGAAGTGCAAAATCTGTGCACCTCATTTCTCCTCCTGGAAACGGGGACAAGAACTCTTAACCTTGCTCCAAATATTGGCTGAATCAAAGGAGAGGCTCAGCTCAAAAGGAAGAGCCAGCCTAGGCAAAGTTTCCTTGCTCTTTGGGTCTGTCAGTAAAATGGTTCCGCAGGTACGTTCTGGGCTTGCCTCTTTGGGCAGCAGAAATCCAGTTTCTCAGCTGGTTTTCATTTTGCTCCTCTTCCCCTTCCCTTCTGCAGTGACTCTGTACTGTGATGACCTTCCTCCCTGCCAGGAAGCATGTGGCTGTCCATCTTGTCGTCCCCCCCCCACCCCCAACCTTTGAAACTCAGTATTTCCTGCAAGAGGGAGGGGCAAATGCTAGTTTTTGTTTTGTTTTTTATCATGTTTCTGTTTTTTTGCTAATCCAGGGGGTTTAAACATCAAGCACAAGCAACAAACTCGGCTGTAACTCTCTGAGCTCCCTCATTCAATTTATATGTTTATCATGTTGGCTTTTATCAACTTACTTTTAGAGCCTGGATTTTACTGCAGTGCAGAATGACAGAACAGTTCCTGCCCAGAGACGAACATAGCAATGCTCCCATGCATAAAAACTCACAGCACGTAACCTGCCCTTGCACTACTGTTAGGTCCAAAACAGTCAATACTTCCTAAATCTCGACAGTTAGCAGATGGTGGTTGCTCCTGACAACTATTGCCAGCCTGCTACAGAAAAGAAGTACCCTGATAGGGGAGGGCTCATGCTGGCAAGAGCTGTGAGGATGGCATTGGAGCTTGCAAAGCCCTGGAGCCGGTTGACATTCCATGGTAGAAATGCAGCATTTCTGTTTAGACCAAAGGCATTGATTTTTATATTGGTTTTGATGCAGTCTGTTTAATTCTCTCACTGAAAATAACCCCCCACAGAAATAGTGTTTGGCATGACATTTTTGTTTTTTTCCTCGACAAGCAAAACGTTTTGACTCTCTCTTGCCCCTGGCCCTGAGACTTTACTGACCAGTTCAAAAAGCTCAGTAACATTACAATAGTTTGGGTACTGGTTTGAGGGAGATTCAGGTGGCCTGGCCTTGCCAGTCGTTGCCCCATCCTTCTTGTTCTGAGCATCCCCTTTGATAGCTGGCACTTGACTGTCCTGTGAGCGAGATGGGCTGAGAGTGGAAAGGAGAGTCCAACCTTCCTGCTAAGGCCCTCAGTGGGGCTGTGGGACAGCTACCTTTTGGTCCCTGCTTCAGCAAAGGTTTCACTGCTTGAAGGGGTGGAAAGGGAGTACACTCGCACCATTGGCTGTGTAAGTGCCCAGCCAGTCCACGTTGCCTCCTGCACCCTTGATTGTGCTTTAGCCACTAGGTTGCTGGCTAAAACCAGAAGTTGTTGCAGCAGGAGGTGGTGGTGTAATTCATCTAATTCTATTCCCCTCCAGCTGTGCTCTAGCAAGGCCAGTAAGTTATACCTGTGCAGCTTCACAAGCAAGGTGTTCCTAGTGGTGGGAATGGTCCTGTGGCTATTGGGTGCTGAATAAATAAAATTAATGTTAATAGATCACTTGAAATACAGGAAGGTTAGATGAGGTCGACTGTGTTCTGGACCATTAGCAGAGACAGCAAAAGCATTTCAAAGCCTTGATTCAAGCGAGTTCACATACATCCCAACAATTTAGGCAGATAACACTTTGCACTTGGCAAACTTACTACCGGACAAAAATATTCTGCCAAATTCTGAATTTTGTGGCTTGTGATTGCATTCACACTATTTAGGATGAGATCTGCTGAGGACTGCTGCTTTCCAGTTGCCGATTCTTCCACTGACTTCCAAGGATGTGCTCAGGTCCAGGCTGCGGAGGTACGGCGTGGCCTAAGCGCCGGCCTTGGGTTCCAGTCACAACCTGTAAGCGAGATTCATCTGAGCCACCACGGATGTCTGTGGTTACACAGCCATTTCCTGGTGCGGCTGTCCCTTGCTTCCTCTCTGAATGTAATAGAGGGAAAGGGCCCTTCGAAGGGACTGGTCAGGAGTTGAAATGCAGCTATCTGCTTGTAAGTGTCTGAAATTAGGTAGAATTAATCCCACTGTGTCTCACTTCTGTGGAGCTACATGTCTGTCTTAGGACTTTGTGCCAGACTGTGCTGTGTGATGTTCTCCCAAACCAGAACAAAAGTTTTGTGCCACATAAATTGTTGTTGTTTCTGACACCTCTGTGACTCTCTCTTTCAAAGAAAATACATACAGAGAATTGTACAGGTGGCAAAATTACAAATGAATTGTATACATTTTTACAGTTTGAAAACTGACCTTTTTCAGAAACCGCTTTTTTTTGGTGAGTTACATGGCCCTTCACTTTTAGAAAATTAATGCTAGCATGAAGTGTATTATAATAACTATTTGTGAAATAACAGCATATTAATGGATGCAAATTACTGATCTGGGAAACTAACATGCCCATGATTCCTGTACTTTTGATGTCAATATTAAAAGCAACATCTAACTAACAGTGATACGGTAAATTAATGTTAATAATAGTTTTGGCACTAATAGAAAGTTATCGCTATTTGTTTAAAAAAAAAATTCTGTTGCCAGGCTCAAGCTGATTTAAAAAAAAAAAAAACAAAAAACAAAAAAACACAACACCTCAGCTCACTGTCACTGAAGCTTTTTCTACGACAATGGAAGGAGATTTCCCTCTTCACTGGACACTTAGGGATGTTTTCCTAGCAAAGATCTGTCATTGCATCAGGTTTCCTACGCTAGCTGGGACGCTCAAGCAGAGGTAAAACAGGAGGCTTCTCCTTCCTCCACAAAAACCTCTGCAGAGCACCTTTTCTGTAATAAACTGAGTTCTATTTAAAAAAAAAAAAAAAAAAAAGCAACAGGTACTTTCTAAGTGTCATCAATATGCAGTTTGAATGGGTAGAGGAGGGGAATGAGATCAAGGCTTTGAAATTCTGTCTTTGCACAGCTACGCTCATCCAACCTCTTATGGATTTCACACGATCCATTAGCTTTATTAATTCAGCACCTATGGCCACAGGACCATCTCCACACTGGGAACAACTTATGTGGATGTGGTCAATGCAGGCAAATCTGGGCTTTTTCATCATTTACTGTCTTCCCTTCCCCAAGAAAAATAATATGTTGCCCCAAAAAAGCAATTTGCTAAGGAAACTAGGCACCTACATGACTGTGACAGGCATTGTTTAGAGAGCACGCCTTTTTGCGTGGGACAGATATAGCTGTGAGGAGATTAAAAAGATGCAGTCTCTAGCCTGTGAAGGCTTCAGAACAGCTTTAGGCATTTTTCAGTTGAGTAGTAATCAACATGGCATGTAGCTCTTGAAACTGTAAGATGGGGACCAGGACACTTCTGGGCCTCCCTGCATCATCACCAACTTGCCACCAATTCATTGCATGACTTTGGTTTGCTCAGGTAAAGCCGTGGTGTTTCTCCCCAAAATTACAACGTTATAAATTCTCGACTGCCTTTCAAATGCACCTGGATATCTTTGGCCAATTGGCTTTGTGGAGCTGCATGAATCAGAAGAGAGCTTCAAAAGTGCTTTCAGTTTTACCTGAGACTTCTCTGCAGGCAATTAGATGGGCTTGGCCACTATACATGCAAAATAATTTTTCAGAACTTTAAACCAGTATTTTTTAAAGTTAAAAACCTGTCATCTTCTGTTTTTGAGTACAGACAATGGAGAGAAGTAGGCAATTAAAAAGCTTTTCCAATGTCTCTGTTTCCCTCATCCCCACCAGTGCATAATTTCTCCCTGATGTGTGAGTGGTCCTGTTTTAATGCTGAGAGGGAGAGTAGACCTGTATTCGCCTGTTTGGTAGCTTGTTGCTATGATGCAGTACCATTGAATGCAGTAATATATCACAACTAACTTCACCCTGTAACATCACACTGGCAAATATTTTTGCAAACGTAAAAGACAAAAATTGTCCCAAGGAAGCAACAGAAGCAGCAAATCCTTCCACTGCAGTTTTGGCATGCATTATTGGATTCAGCAAGCAAGTCTGACATTATCCTACTGTGCTAGCTTTCAAAACAAAGGCTGCAGCAAAAGAACCTGCTCTCGATCTGCGTTACAGAGGATAAATAAAAAACATTCAGATTTCCTGGGATGGCAAAATACCTACCCAAGCGCCATCTGGTCCAAACAGCTCTAAAAAGTTGCCAATAAATTCCCTGGACTTCTCTTCCCATTTCTGAATGAGGTCATGGCTCTTCTCTTCCACCTTGTTAACAAATTCTTTTGATTTTTCCTCTACGTTCTTGACTTTTTCTTTCATTTTGTCCACTTGGTTTTGAAAGCGGTATTTCTTCTCCTGTTTTAAAAGTGTGGACAGAGAGATTGTTATGTAGGGGCTTGGCAATAATTAGCCACTGAAAGTAAGGAAGAAGAAAAAAAATTACATTAATGCTAAAATTACTTATGACCTTAGTTAACTATTCTCACATGTTATTTGTGTGGCCAGCTAACTTAGAAGAGAGAGCAGGCTCCTAATTGCCGAGTGATGCAGAAATAGAGGTGGAAAGAGAAGGTGCTGTTATGAAGCTTCAGTCTGGCCAAGCTCAAAAAATATTTCAGGTTAAAGGTTTTTGTCCTGAAATGCTTCTGTGCTCCTCAGAAATAAAGCACAGAGAACTCACAAAAGGCTGTGCCCTTGAAGATGTAATGACCTCCGCAGAAGCACAGCTCACTGTCAGCTTTTAATTTGCTGTGAATTTCATTTAACTGACTCTTTAATTTACTCCTAAAACAAATGCTATTTAGTTCCACTGTAGCAGCTTAAAATACTGAAGTAGGGCTTTGGATCAGAACTATGGAATAAAAACTTCTTACTCAACAGATTTTGCTTTGCATGTGTTACTTGCTTTCTTTCTGCTACTGCTATGAAAGAGATGACGGGGGTTTTATTCTAGCTCATGAACCTCTAGAAGAACTGATGAAAGCCCAGTTTAGAATCTCTATAATAAGAACATGCACAGCTTGGCCTCTAAATCTCAGGCCATGTACAGAAATGGTATTTTATATTTAAAAATTCCTTGAATGCAATATTGAAAAAAATGCAGCTATGCAAATACATATACTTAAGTACTTGAGCATTCACATGCCTGATGCACTGGCATACTTCATTAGCAAATCCAGTCTGTGATTCTGGATTTGAGAAACATTGCAAATTAATTAAAGAAAAGTTTAAACTGCCCTTTCATTCTTACGCTCCAGAATGTAAACACATTTCAAATTAGAAGTTAAAAATATGCCCACAATGTTTTCAGGAGATTATTTTCAATGCCAAATGCTACATGGAGAAGACAGCACTTCAAAGCAATAGCAGATGCAAGGATTCAAAACGACACAGGTACATATTTTTTGCAGGCCACCGGGCCAAACAAAATCAATAAAATCTGAAGAAACCTCACCTACTTTGCATCTAATGGATAACCAGACCTTCCTTTAACTATTTAGGAAACTAACTCTTTTCTGTCTTGATGAAATGCTGTTATTTATTTTGAAACACAAAAAGCCTCTGGTGAAAAGCAGTATTTCTGCATTTAGATTACTATAAGCTAAAATAGCCAAATGTCAGGAGGGACTTCAGAATACATCAGTGTCTTTGGTTGGGGGGCAGCATAAGTTATGCAACAGTTTCTTAACCTCAGAGCAGAAAAAGAATAAATTGGAGAACCACAAAGGACAGTTTGCATCCAGTGTGCATCTAATGGATGCTTGTAATTGTGATCCCTATGGGTGGAAGATTTACAGCAGGAAGTTTTAAATATACCATCAGCACTAAACTGTTCTAAAGAGACATAGAAAAGTGAAGAGAAGCTTAGTGAAATAAATATTTATGTCCTGTGTTCTCTGATGTATCTGCCAGACCTTAAAATAAGAAACAAGTAAACAAAATCCTCACAAAATGACACAATTCAGTCTGTCATAAGGGATATCCTAGTTCCCAAATGAGAAGAAAGTCATCCTGTGATGAAACCCAATCATGAGGAACCTTTCAGTAACGTGGGGTTTTCAGAGGCCTAATAGTTAAGACTTGAAACAGAAGATGGAGGAAAGTAAATTCATTTCTGCTAAGTATTTAATCCTAACCGGAGGGCGAGGTGCAGTTCTGTATGTGAAAGCTGCAGCTGCCTCTGAGCAATCCTTTGAGCACCTCCGCTCTACTTATCACACTACATATTGTGATTTCTAACCTCTTCAGCATCATTTAAACACCAGCTTCCTAAAACACTTCCTTGTGTTTTAAAGGGCTTCTACTGGGCCATTTGTTTTGCTATTTTTATCTTGTTACTTTGTAGAGAAAAAGCTTGTATGTCAAAAATCTGTGCTGTCTTCTCACAAGGGAAATACAGAAAGAGAGTCAGTTCTTGGGTCAGTGCTTGAGGGCACTATGGCTGGGGGTTGGTTTCCTTCTTGATACTCAGTCACTTGCAGCTCAAGAAGAAACACGGAGCAGTAGCTTTTTTACAAACATCAAAGCGTAGGACAGAAACAAAGCTGCTAATTACTAGCACTAGTTAAAACAATCCTCAGCTTACCAGTTTCTTTTAAACTAAATTTTTCCCAGCTTTGTCTCCTATTTTAAAAGCAACAGGAGGAAGATATGCTTTCTTAGCCTTTGTTTTAAGTTTGCGCTCTTCACAGACACCCTTTCCGAAACGAATGCAGATCAGTGTACTCACGTTTATAAAACTAACGTTCAGCTCTTTGGCGGTGTATCCTCGTTGGAGGTTGCGTCGGGCATAAACGTCGTAGTCCCGGACAATCCGTGTGATGATATCTGATGTTGAGATACCTTCAGTTCTCTGTGTTGGTACAAACATTCCTGAGCAAAGGGAGAAATGAAAGCCCACTGAGAAAGCATGGCAGGACCAAGCCATGCAGCAGGTAACTGAAAATGAATGTCTCCGCAAAGATGCCTGACCAAAGATAAGAGGCTTGACATTCCGGCCAGCTTATTCTCAGTTTTTTCCCGTTCTTCCTGTGTGAGCTTAGAGAAGGCATAAAGTTGCTATTTATTTCATTTTTCCTCCGCCTATAAAACAGCTAAAACTTGTCCACTTCACAGTGTCAGTTGTGATGTTAAAGTTACTAGCTAGACTGGCAGGGGTGCCCGAGTCAGGAAGGCGTTAGACCTAACAATTGCTGACAATTCACTAAACAGTTCTTCTTCTGGCTCTCACTCACATTACTGAAAGGCCTTTTGCTGGTCTCATGCGTATTTCTGCTCTCCCCTCCATTTGCTGTGTTGCACCCTCTCACAGTCCTTGTTCTGCTGAGCAAAACAAGCCAGCCTGTAGCATTGGCCAAAGCCAGTAAAAGATGCATAGCAATAAATGGAAAACACCCAGGAAGTGCTAGTAGCTTGTAACGGGAAGATGAAGCACAAGGGTGGTGTGAATAAACACAGATTTACTATGGAGGCTAAGGATATCACTTGCTACAGCCCCTGTTTGAGTGGCTGAGGCTACGTGAGCGCTGTAAAACCATGCTCCCTCCTCCAACAGATCAGCCCCTGATAAAACTAGCAATTTATTAATGTTGCTTTTATTTCCTCAACGCAGCTGTGGAATATGTTGCTTTTTAATTGCTCCTTATCAAGACAGGATCACATGAACTGTTAAACCAAGTCACAAAGGCAGTGATAGCAGAGTGCTAGCACACCTTGTTTTAGTAGTTATTTAGGACTGCAAGAAATTACTACTATCATTTATACGTAATTGCAACATTAAACTGCTGATGAGAGCGAGCTGTGAGATTGCACTGGAAATGGTTTTCCAAAATATAGTGCTTTGTCTTAAAAGGGTGCTATAGCTACTGACAAATTAATCCCCCTGAAGTAGGCAGGCATTGCTAGCCAATTTCACAGGGTCAGAAAGAGGTCTGGAGAAGGAACCAAGCAGCTTAGCAGCCTCTTCTGAGTGACTGATATGTGATATCGCTTTATTTTCCTTTATGATCTCTAATTAATACTCTGCTAAAAAAGAGATTATTTTGATCATGAGCAGAGAGGTTTCCCTGCTCACACTTTTCAGGCTTGCAGCAGTCACTCAGGAAACTATTTTGGGAAGCAGTAAAACCCACTTTAAGCCAGAAGCCTTTACAGATAGAAGCTAGAAGAATCCAGGAACAAAATCCCTTGCTAAGCCAAATACTGAATTGGTTTTAAGTAAATGTACAAAACCACATATCAGAGCACTATGTTTAGTCACTGATTTTGCTTTCATTTGCTTCATGTGCTGGACTGATCCATGTTTTCATGGAGTGAATTGTTTACAGATAGGCAGGGGTTCAGTTAGCCCACCATTACCCTGCTCACTGTGGTCCATATATGCTCCTAGCCTTTGAAAACAGTGGAAAAAACGGTTGTCCATGAGAAAGCTACACAACAAGGCCCACTGTCCCCATTTGCTTGTTTGCTCCCCAACAACCCTATGATGTGGGAAAATGAAAAGGGGAGCACTACAACTAAGAAAAGAGAAAAATATGCACAAATGCTTCCACAGCATTGGACTATTTTAAACAAAATACCCTAGGAGAAAGGGGAAATTCATTACAGTATTAACCCTGTTCTGGAGCGTTACAGAACTACTACATCACTAGATCTCAACACTTTTCACAAATAAGGTGAGTAAATGTCACAAACCTCAGTGGTACAAGATTGAACTCACTTCTCCAGTATCACCCAGTGATGTAGACAGGACATAATGCAAGTTCCTGAAGTTACAAGCCTATACTCTATTGCGTATCTATGGCCTGCAGGGACTCCGTACCATTCCTTCTCCCCACAAAAAGCAGCTTATCTATTAAACTTAACAGGATGAAACTGAAATTCCAGTTTAAAGGAAATCTAGCTACAGAGAGCAAATGAATAGGATATCTGAGAAACTGCAGATGCAGCACTGATTCCAGCTGGAGGTAATTGTTCCATAAAAAAAATGTGAAAACTGCTTGCTCGCACCCCCTTCCATTTTCAACCAAATGCACCTGCGAAAGAGAGAACCGAGTTTATGATTTATAGTATCTGGGCTGAAATGCATTAGAAATGCAGCAGGCCTTTATCTTACTAATCCCTGCTTTTAAAGGCAACCAAGCTTGTGTGACTGTAAGTAAGAAATAAAGTTTGAATTTCTTGGCAGGATGCACGCATGCTGCACCCATGCCTAAAAACAGCAGAGAAGATTGTGCCAGGTCTGGGCACTCTCCAGCTTGCTCTGATAATGATACAGTGACACCAAGGTGCCTGCTGGGCTGTACTGTGTATTCAGCACCGTATAGATGTAAGGCAAAATAGCTCCCTGCCCGTGTGTGTTCTGTATGTCCCTCAATGACCCATCCTTACCAGAGGCAGGTTTGTTCCATTGCCTAGGAAAGCACGCTCACTCTGGCTCCTCTGAAACTGTAGAACAGCCATGCCTAAAGGAGGGTTGTGAGTCTGCCCCCACAGTGAGGTTTGCAAATGGAAAAAGATCAAGAACACTACTGTGAAAAGCTTACTCTTTTGGCTGAGGTCAGTACCTGGTCTCCAGCTGCCACTGTGCAGCTTGAGAATGTCACTTCACACTACAGATTACCATCAGGTAGATTTTCTCTGGAATTTTTTTAAGCCTCCAATATACACATTTATGTAGACCAGGAAGAAGATAGACCCTCCAGTGTTCAAAGCAGCACCTCCAGGGAGCAGTGGAAGAAAAGTTTGATCACTTCCTCCTCCTGCACTGTTCGTTGTGTTAGGATAGCTGCTTCTGACAAACAATAGCTTAAGTTGTTCTCTTTGGTTTTAATTCAGCATCCATGAATGGAAGAGAGAGAGCCTCCTGACACCTTCAGTATGTTCATGTTCAATGTTATATGGTAACGAACCAAACTGCTAAAGAGTCGTGACACATTAATTACTCTCATACTGATTTAAATCCTCTGCCAGTGTGGTGAAAAGCAGCCTCAGCGTACACCAGAAGTGGATCCTGATGACTCCTGAAGGACTGCGCGCTTTCCCCCACAGAGAATTGTTGTGTGTTCAAGGAGCAGTCAGTTTGTGGTTACCAATAAACTACTAGAGTTTGATGGGCTGCTGTGGGTACTGAACTCATTTTCACTGGTTCAGACCTGTTAGTGGAACACCCTGACATTGCTAAAAAAAAAAAAGCCAGAAAGGACTCTTTCATGACATATTTGAATGGTTTTCTGAGGGTTATGGTAGGAATTCAGCCAAGGACATCCTTTGTGGTTTTACAAAGAGAACCCTTCTGCTGAAGTCAGCCATACCTACCATTAGGTGACATTATTTCTGCTGCTTCTTTCCCAGCAGTTGTGATCAAAAGGCAATAACAAGAGTTCAAACTGAGGCTGAAAAGGAAGGCGTTAAAATGTAAAGTTGCCCTTACCTGCCTCTTTTATATGTTTGTATACATCATCCGAGCCAGCGGAGGAGTATGGGATATCATCATGGGCTACAAAGTCAATCTGCAGGTGAACAGAAGAAGAATCACATGCCACCATCACCGAATCCTGGTTCAGTGGGGGTTGTTGCGGAGGATCCTATCTTTTCTTGAAGTCAGCTGGCTTGCTTTTGACATTCTCATCCTAAAATACTGCACCTGATTTAGGCCTACAACCGCTATGCTCTACAGTCAGTTTGAAAGAACAGAAAATTCATATCCAGAAGTACTGTTAACACCTTGCTCTGGATGTCTCTGGATGATATTCTACAGAAAATCTAAGAAGACACCTGTTTCTGCTTTTATTGCTACCATAAGAGCTCTTAAGTCAAGTGGCAAAGACCCAACTTTCAAAACTTTAGAGACAGGATTATTGATTCTGTCTCCTTAGGTCTGTGCATATATACAAATAAACCTAGTAACTGTCCTGCTGTACATTCATCATACAGTGATAAGGACACTAAAATGAACTCCAGTTTGTTACATCTTTGTTAATATTTTTATATTTTATAAGACACTCAACAGCATGTAAGAATAGTTACATACATCTTAACTGCTGGCATTTTTATGTACATCTGGCCAGCTATTGCACCTGTTGAAATTAATAAGAAATGTGCCCTTAATTGAAGACTTTAACAGGACTTCAATCATTACATTATAGCTTTCCTGGTTCATGAGTTCCCTTCCTGCACTTGCAATTCATGGATAATTCTTCAGTGTTATTCTGACATTCAAAAATTCCTCAACAGACACCATCCCGGCATACTGAGAAAAAAAAAAAAACCCAGGAAAAATAGAACATCTTCTGACAAAGACTCAGGCAAGCGATGCAATACACCTAATTTCAGTGGCTGGAATTGACCAAATCAAACAATTTACTCCAGCTAATAGAAATTCACATGCTTGCTGCTTATTCTTAACCGTCAGTCTACAGAGGGAGGACAAGGGATGAGGGGAGGAATGTACCTTATGTTTTTCAAGAAACTCTGGTGTCAGTGTCCAGGGTGCATCTCTGATGACCTCATCTACATAGCGACAGTGTCTGAGGGCTTCATATCGCTCAGCTTCATTCATCACAGTGAAGCCTTTGAATTTATGAGTTAAATCATCACTGCAAACTAAAACAGGGAAGTGTCAACAAAATGGCTCTACGTCCAGTACAATTAGCATGTCTGACAGTTAATAATTTCTTGATAATTCCGTTAAGCACTTAGTGCCATTTTTGGGTGCTCCAGGGCATCTGAGAGATCTGCACAGGGTCAGCAGATATAACTCTGGACCAAAGAATGATCCCCCCTGCTTTCTGGAGCTGCAGCCAGAGCTCAACTGAGATACCGTAGGACATCTCAAATGGTATCTTACGCATATGGCAAGGGAACTGAATCCTACTGCAAGTGGATATTTCATGGGCTGTGAAATTTCTGGGGTGAGGGAGAGTGTTTTAAAAACAAACAGAAAAGTGAAGTGTCAGCAATCAAAAAGTGCTCACAAACTTCATGTATCACAGAACAGCTGAGGCAGGAAAGCAACTCTGGAGATCGTCTAGTCCAACCATCTGCTCAGGACAGGGTCAGCTAGAGCAAGTTGCCCAGGGCTATGTCCCGTTGGGTTTTGAATATCTCCAAGGATAGAGACTCCACAACCTCTTGGGGCAACCTTTTCCTGTGTTTGACCTCCCCCACAGTAAAAAAAGTTTTTTCTTATGATTAATAGAAATGATTAATTTGCCAGCACAGCTCTCAATCACAGAAGACCAGTTTCTCACAAAATTAGCACTGAGAGAAAACAAGTCATGACAGATTTCATAAAAATCTCTCTCTGAGTTGAGCTTTGAATTCAGCTGATTTCATGGAAAGATGAGTAAGGTTTGTTCCACAATCAAACAGGAAATTACAGAAGGAAATCCAAGGAAAAGGACTGGGAAAAGCCATATGCTCTAGTGGAAAGAGCAAAGAGTTAGAAGTCCAGAAATCCTGCATCTTTAACGCTGGATGCGCCAATGCTTTATCATATCGCTTTTAAAATGATGGGCCTGTGCTGTTGAGGGACTATAAAAGTTGGCTATTATCTTCCTACCCACATAACGTTCCACAAAGTACAGTGGCCTGTCCCCTTGACTGTAACTCTGTACAACGTTCTAGCTACGATCGTCTCTCATCTCCTCACATAGACTAATTCGATACCCTTTACAGCTGGGCTGACTGCGGTTGTCCTTCATCACAGGTCAAGCCTATGCCTTTCGATCTCACTTGGCAATGACACCGGAACAAACAATAACTGTACTTGACAAATGGTAAATCCAACATTATTAGTGCTGCAGGGAAGAGCAACAGAAGCCCCACAGCTGAAGCGTCTTTTTTAATTTGAAAGCATCACCCTGTCAGACAGGGTTCTGGTGAAGAGGTAGTCTTTTCGAGATCTAAAATTGATGTTCTTGATGTGACGGTCATTAAGGAACTTTAAAGTAGGTAAAAATGTAGGAGGCTTAGCTCTGCAGTTTGTGCAAAATTCAAAGCCACATTAATATACAAATGTACTTCAGCTGGAGAAATGCTGCTCACATCCTAGTATGCCATTTTGATGCCTGCTGATAAGAAATTGAATGGAGATCAAAGCATTTTCAGTAGAAAGATCCCTTCTGAGATTGTATTTATATTTACTTAAAGTCTCTATGTCACCTTAAAGTTGGGCTCTCCTGGAAGAAAATAGCAGAAAATAATTTTTGCTCAAATTCTGTAGAAAAGTTTGATTTCATTTTTGATTACTGTTCATTTGTGCACAATGCAGACACAAAATGTATCTGTATTTCCTTTTGGTTCTCTGCTCTAATGACTGATTTGGGAAGATATAAAAACCTATTAGAAAAAATCTCAGCTCCAAATGATATTCTTTACAACAAGAAATAAAAGGGTTTGGTGGGGGGGGGGATGCACCCACAAAGGCATATCACAGCAGTGCTTTTGCAGCACAAATTGTACGTGGGTGTGGAGAGCTGCCCATTTTCTAAACATGCTAAGGCACAATGCATCACTGGAAAAAGGTTCTGATGAGTGCTGGCTGCTTTGTCCTTCACTCAGAAAATAAAGGGGAAAGTGGAGCTATACCGTGAATTTCAAAGGAGTCGGGCTTTTTCCCCAGAGCTCCTTCCCTGATCTCTGACAACAACCCCCACACCTTTAAAAATAAGAACAAAACCTCCATAACTCTCTTCTTCTAATCCTCACACTCATGCATCCCCACCTGCTGCTTCTGCAAGCTCTCTGGCTCAATAAGAAAATAATAGAGTCCTAAATGTTTCTTTCATAACAAAGGGTTGTCTCTTCCTTTCCCTCCCAGGAAGCTCCATTTGAATTGCTATAATTCATTAACTCAAGGGTAAAACTGAAGCGTGTGTTTCTAAGAAGGAGATTTGGCTTTTCCTGTATGTTGTGTCTTATATTTTTTTCCCTTTTTAGACAGATTTGGGACAAAGACACAACATAATGCATCTTATAAAGTGTCTGAACGTTGCATTCACAGCCTCTTTAGCATCACTTTTGTAAGCATCTGAGCAGAAGAATTTCGCTGTGAAATGTTAACGAGAGGCACATCCCAAACCCAAAGGCGCAGGGAAACTGCAACTGAAATGCATATTTATGAGGCCTCACGAGAGCAGTGCTTGCACAGCCAGCTAGGCAGGAAACTCAGACGCTCTCACGTGACTTGTCTGGCATATACAACTGCTGAACATCTGTTAGCAAGCCATACAGCAAAACAGAAGATACTCACAAAATAAACTGAAAAGAAAGAGTAACATACCTAGCAACACTTGTGAGCTGAAAAATATGTTCAAATCTTGACCTATGTTTGGGTCTCCAATGCCAACAGGTCGGAGTTAGCTTCCCTGCTGATGCTGAAGGCTGGGCCTGCACACATTGGTACTGACCTGGCGGCCAAGGAAAATAGGCTGGCTGGCTGGCAGTGTAGGGACTGAGGAGCCGGGAATAAATGAGCAGTTGATCTCATTCACTCATTTCTCTTTGAACAATTTTGAAGGAATAAATGAAAAAGGTAAATTATTCATATGGAGCTATTCTAAGCTCAGAGTCATGCAGACACCTGCTTAAACTAGAATAGGAATTGTACCTGTGCTGCTGAGGGCAGAATTTGACTTTTACTTTAATTGATGCAATTGTAAGATGTAATTCAAGGCAAATAGCCTACATAAAGCCTGCAGAGAGAAAGCAGCACTCAGAGTCATCGTGTATAAACAGCTGGGGGTGAGAACACTGCAATAGCTCTCTGCTGCTGAAGCACAGAAGCAAAAATCCAGTGCAATAAATAACTCTGATCTTACCTCCTACTAATAAGTAGCTATTTGGGAATAGAGTTTTGGCTTGCATAAGAGCTCTAGCATGGCCAGAATGGAAGAGGTCAAATATCCCATCTGCATACACTCTGACAGGTCTGTCAACTGCAGAGAAAGAAACACAACAGTGATTTTCCAGACCCAAAACAAGTTGCATGTAATTCTACTGGAGAGGTTTTTGTTCCTAGATAAGATGGGGAAAAAACTCTGCAACCAATTCAGATTTTCAAAGTATACAATAAGCGAACTTGCAGTGCTTTATTCTGCTCATTACTTGTTCTTCTCTGTACTCACTGCTGTTTTCTCCCAGACTCAGCCTATTTATTATCATCCATCATCCCTTTATTCTAATTTAGCAAAAATGTCATCCTCCTGTCTCATTCAGAGTTCTTCCATATGTCTTGTTCTTTTCCCTCTGCCTTTCCAGTCAGTCCTGCCTTCTGGATTTTTGTTGAAGTTTTTTCCTTGCTTTCTTCGCCCCTCACTTTTCCTCCCCTCTGCTCTGTGGCTTTCTTTTTGCCACAGCTTGCCACTATAAAAATGTATTGCTTACCTCTTCCACATAAACCTGTCACTTCCCATTTTTCATACTTCCCACAAGCGCTTCTCTTCTCTCTAATGATCCTATCATTTATTTTTCTCACTGTCTCCCTGCTATCACCCTTATAATTCTTTCTTTCTGTATGACATCTTCAGCAGCAGCCTTCTCACAGAAAAAGGAGCTGCTTCACCAAATGATAGGCCTGACAGCTGTGCAACTGACCTCCAAGCAGAAGGCCATCAGAGATGAGAGCAACAGAGCTTCAACCTCCATCACCTGCGCTTTTGTGCTACAGAAAGAAGTCCTGGCTACCATCCATGGTCCACAGAAACATGGGGACAAGGTTCCTTGCAAAGCTCACTGGAAAACTGCGTCTTATCCCTATAAATGGGTATATTTTAAAAGCTCATTTTAAATACATAAAATAAGTATATAAGAGACCCTTTTTCTTTTTTAAGGGTCTCTTAGAAACTGGGGGGAGGGGAGAGGTCAAATATATTTGGGACTTTCTGTAAAATTATTTTGTTTCTCTAGCCCAATCACGGAGGTAGCTTTGGAAAAAATGTCCAGATAAAGAGTTGAGAAATCGGGCACCCTTTGCAAAGGGTAAATGGCATTTAAGGTCACCTGTGGTTTGATATGGTCAACAAGGACGTGAATGAAGGGAGCAATTCTACAGAGTACAGAGACAGTTATGTGAAGAGAATTCAGGAGGTAGCTTTTACACAGTACGATTTTCAGGCTGCCTGGAATGGGTAGGCAAGCCTTCCTTTCCACTAGTATGCAAGCATCCATGAAAACATTAAACTATAGCTTGAAATGTTTTCTCTTGTCGTTTCTCTAGCAAAAGAGAATTGTCCTCTAGTTACTGCTTTCTTCCCCAGTATCTGATAGCACCAGACGTCAGAGTGGCCTTTCTGCTTCCGAAAGGGAAGGCACAAGCCAGCACAGATGCACGTTTGCAAGGGACTCGGGAACTGCGTGTGGCCCTGCTGAGGGGACTCTCCACACCTACCTGGTGTTCCCAGGCGGGCCTGTGCAATGGTTAACTTCTCATGGGGCGCTTGGCATTGACAACTTGTTTCGTCCGCAAATGGAGCAGGTGCTGTCAGAGTCTAGAAGCGGGCAGCAAGGAGGAAAAAAATACAAAGAAAGTCAATTTGTTTTTCCACCAGGCAGTTAAAATAGAATCATTTAATTGTGGCAGGATGCCCTAACCAGGCTTAACGCTGGTTTGCTCCTTCGGGTTTTTGCTTTTTGGTCATGCCTGAGGATATGCAATTCACAGAAGGTAAAACGATGAGGAAAATATAGGCCTCCTAAATACATCACGCAAACGAATTCTTAGTCTCTGTTGAGAAGCTCACGCATTTTTGATGTGGGGGCAGCTAAATAACTGTTCTGTTTGAGGGCAAAGTCAGCTCACATGGCTACAGGCCCAAGCAGCTTAATCCCTGGTTTGGATCTCAATGAGTCCAAAGGCCCCAGAGGTGAAATGTATTCTGCTATGTAAAAAAATAGCTGGAAAAACCAATTAGGATTTAGAATACTGCAAACTGGCCATCTCACGAGCACCAGTTCCTCCCACTGATAACACATCAGTACTGATGACTGGGGACTAGAGAATGTATTGTTGTGTTTTCAGTCAGATCAGAATCCTGGATAATTTTGAGGAGCCATTCAAAATAAAGACAAGATTGCAGCTAGAATTCCCACATAACTAGAGCCCAGTGAGCTGCAATTCCTTTCTCTACTCTGACATGTATTGTAATAACACTAAAAGCCTCTAATTGTGATCAAAGCACCATGAGGATCCTTGTTCTGAAGAGCTTACAACCTAAAGATATAGGAGAGAAAGTGAGGATGTGTGAAGAATGACACAGTATTATGTATCAGGAAATCTGATCGCAGAAATTACATTTTCTGCTCATGCTTAATGAGCAGAAAAGGCTCATTTGGGAATGAGCATTTAATTTGGGAAGTTACCAGCAATCAAAACCTCAGGTATTTATTGTTTGCCATATGGTCTGAGGTGAAAAAACACGTTTCTACTGCACTTTGCTTGAAATCTTCATGGAACCACAGAAGCAGCAAACTAGCATTAGTTGTTTTTTGTTTGTTTTGTTTTGTTTTTGTGAGATGAGACGACGGCTAAGACGATCCAAAGCAAGCATATCACTTACTTTGCCTCCACCATGATTTACGTGGGATATCATGACCTTGGCACCAGTAGTTTAGTCTGGTTTTGACAGTGACCATTCATGCCACGCACAGTTGTCACATCAGCCTGAGCACCTGTGGTTGATCGTAACAAAATATCCCTTCCTCTTATTTGCACTTCTTTCAGTTTTCAGATGCTGAACGCTTAATCACCGACCATTTACTTTTTAGCATCCCTGAGACACGTTAACCTAAAGATGTTTAATGCCTAATTGCTGCTGACCTCTGGGCTTATAGGCTCGTCTGTACGGAAAGCTCAGAGAATCAAAGCAAAACAGGCCTGAGAGGAACCTCAAGGTGGCTCTGATCCCAAATAGCAAGATCAAATATATTTATATAACTCCTGAGAGAAACTAACCCAATCTGTTCTTAAAATCCACAATTACAGTGTTTACCTGTTTTTATGCATCTTTCTAATGTCTAACCTAGATGTTCCTGGCCAACAATTTTAGATGATTACTCTTTTCTTCTTCACAGTGGACATGAAGAACAATTTATTTCCTGTCTCTTTAAAGGTACCATTTTCCATAATTGAAGCCAGCTATGTGTCTCACTCAGATTTATTCTTTTTCAGTTCCTTCATCCATTCCTCACAGGTCAGGCCTAAGAGGCCTCTGACCATCATTCATGGTCATCCCTTTCCAACTGTGCATTTTTCTTTAAAGGTGGCACCTGGAACTAGAGACAGCATTCCAGGCAAGATCTTACCATCTCCACCTTTTTATACATACTGGCTTGATTATTGCCTTTGTTGACTTGTTTTCAGCTGTGCCATCCAATTCCCAATTCTATTTGCATGGAACTGTGGCTCTCTGATTTCTCATCTCTCTTTGTGCAGCTGATTGATTGTTTCTCTCTGATTTTGTCCTTAGTGAACCGCATTTTCTCTGCTTCTCCAATTTCTCATCATCTCTTTGAACTCTGCTCCTGTCCTCCTTTCTCCTTGGACCTCTCTCAGCTTGATGCTGTCTGTGAATTTAAGAGACGTGTTTTCTGTTCATCATCTCATGTGTTAATGAGTAAGACCAGATGCAGCCTATATCCCTGGAGAATCTCAGTCAGAGTGCAAGCCGCTGATGAATGTCATGAATAGCTCTCAGGGGGTATTCAAACCACCTAAATCAGGGACCTACATCTAGGTCCCTTGGATGGGATATGAAAGGATCTTGGTTCCAATGCAATCTTGGATGCCTGCGATTAGATCATGTGAACCTCCACACCACATGGAGTGGTGCACGGCTATAAACACATTGCAGAGCTTAACACAAGACAAACTTACAGTTGTTCATCTAGCAAACTACTGCTTGCCACTCTAGTTTCTTCTACACTTGCTAACGTAATCGCTTCGTAGTGTCTTTTGCACCCGTCTGCAAAGCACTCACTTTGCCGGACAACACAATTGATAGGCCTAAGGTTTAGATCGTGATAGGCCCCTTCATTTTCTTGACCTAATGTTGCAGCAAAGGCATAAAGTCAGCCTAAGATGCATTTGCAGCTTCTGCTGCTTTGGGATTTACTATTTATTTTGCTTCCCAAAAGTTCTCAACTGTCATACAGATTTCTTTTTTCCTTCCACTTTTCTTTCTTTTACTTTTTTTGTATCTCAAATGTTGCAGGAAATCTTTTGAGGTAATATTAATATGTTAGTGATTAAAATCACAGCTTCTCTGCACAGATGAACTTAAAAATGGAGGAACTATGACAAACTCCAAGTTTCTGTCTGGGTTTCATGGAAGGGAACTGTTCAACCGGCCACCCACGTAGCATGGCATAGAATATTACACATAATCATACAGTGTGAGCTCCTTTCTTTATTTTCTAAATACTATCTTTTTGCTTCTGTCTTTGTGATTGCTGAGGGCTAACCTGTCTTTTTATCTCCAAGCAAGGTCAAGTTACACAACAGCCCATACAGCTTGGTTCATGCTGGGATAAAGAGGAAGGCAGAAATGTTAAAACAATAATGGCTATGGTCTGAGGCCTGCAACTGGTAATCAGATCCTAGCTTGGTAGAGGCTGTTTCCTTGGAGATTATTTGAAGAAAATAGGCCCAGTTTGCAGCAAGAGATTTTTTTTTTCTAGGCACACATAGTAGTGCTTTTAATCCATGTAAATGCCTTTGCAACACCAAGACTTTTCTTTCAGTCTCTGCTAAACGGAGAACAACCTCTATCAGGTTCCCATCAGTCCAGTTTTTGTAATCATGCAACACTAAAACTTTACAACCAGGGGCTTAGAACCAGACTTGTCAATCTTTCCATTACCCTGTGACCTGTCAGTCATTGCATATTAATGATAATTAACACAATAGACTAAAATCAGGAATATTCTGACAAAGAGAAGCCACGTACAGAAATACATAAATATGGTGTGCTGACAGATCAAGTGAAATATAGTGATAGCTCCTTAATAGTATCCAAGACTATTTTATTTGATCTAGCCTAGGAAAAATGTAGCTCAACTTAACAAAAACATCTTATGAGTAAAATAATATAAGATCATTTGGTCCCTATAAAGAACATAAGAAAATATTTCAAGAAATGATTAAAAACCAGAAATAATCTATCAAAGCTCTTTCAGTTTGTTTATAATTACTTGTACTCTTTCCAGTTTCTTGTCAGTAATAACTAGAATTGGGAGAAGACAGTAAGTAATTTATGCAGCAGCTTTTTCATTTTGGTTAATCCATTAAAACACTTCCAGGAGTTTGCTATAGTTTTGCCAATAATTAGATGCTTAGACGAAGACTGTAAATGTATTTCTGTCTTGATCTGACAGATTTTTGCCTTCATCTGTGCATTGGGCTTTCTCTAAACACCACACATACATAACATTACTTTTCTATTTCATAACATTTTGTGATTAGTCAAGGAAGTCAAATTAGCCTTGTTTTTTGGGCCATGGTAAGCTTCTATGATCTAGGATACAGCATCCTGTAGCAAGGTATTCTATAGCTTAAGTGTGAGTTAAATGAAGAATTATTTCATTTTGCTTGTTCTGAATCTGTCTCTTGCTTGTATTATTTGATATTCTCTAACCTATTCTCTATTCTTGTGTTGGAAGCTTCCGGAAATTCATTCATAGTCACCTTTTCCTTGCCACTCATGATTTCCACAGTCCTCTCTCTTTTCCCCCCTCGGTTGTTTTTTCCAGGCTGAGGAGTTTTTCCCTGTTTATTTGTTCCTTGTATGGAAGCCACTCCACAACTTTATTTTTGCTGCCTTCTCTGTAACTGTGAGGTGGTTACACAGTGATCGTACTGATAACTCTTCCAATTTCTAGAGCTGTAATAGATAGGGATAGAAAATTACTCATGTGGTGCTCACAGTTTGGGGTTATTTTTCCACGACATAAGCCCCTAATACTTGATATGAGCAGGGAGACTATACTTTCATTCAAGCAGTCTAAATGTCATATTGATATTTTATTACTAGTATGTTAGGTGTGGTGTTTAGAGAAAGCCAATTACACGTCATAAATGGAAAAGTTACTGTACAATCAGCACTCTTTAGTAATGTTTACTTCCAAACACGTTATCAAACTTTGCAAAGGTCTTGCCGTGCAAGTCCTACTGCTTGGGAATGAAGACACTGGATTCAAATGTAATTCAACTGATGTCCTAAAAGTGAAGATGGACCCTGTATGTGAAAACCACGTATCAAATACTACTTGGATATCACAAGTGATTCGTTCTGCGACAAG